TTCTTTCCCTTCCTCTTCTTCTTTCCCTTCCGACTAATGAAAGTCACTTCAAACACATGCTCCACATCGCTCCATCTGTCTGCTAGTGATTACGGCCTTTCTAAGCCTTTGGGGAAAAAACACATAAAAAAGAAAATACCTATATTGATCGTCTTCATTTCTCTCCTTTAACAGCCTACTAGTTTTCTCCAACATTTTGGGGACTCAGAATTAAAAAAAAAGAGTTCTCTTTTATTACATGGTGAGCGAAAGACCTCCAAAAATAGAAAGACTATGTAAAATTTCTTAGAAGAGGCCCAGTAACCCAGAAGCTGAAAGATAACCATTCTAAAAATTATAGTAACTGAAGGGCAGATTTCTGCGTAAAATATCATACAGATATCATCGTGTGAACATCAAACCTCATTTATTCCCGCATTTGTAAGCATAATACGTGTATATAATGTTTGAGATGACGCTTGACATTATATTATTTCAGAGTTATTGATTTATATTGTGATGTATAATGTCAAATGTTGCGGTCCTCTCATTCAACGCTCTTTGTTTTAGGCTTGTGTGTCTACTTTCTCGTCTGAATACGTCAAACTAACAATATTATTCCCTATATTGGATGAGCAAGAGAATCCAGGTCTGTGATGGGGCAGTTAGACTATTCTTTGTTGCTCGCAAAGGACAAGAGTTGGATTCTTGAGTGGGGACGTTTAGTAGTAAGGATCTCCACATGTCCGTACGGACATTATAATATTATCCTATTGAAAACAGAGAAAAAAGCCGGGATATTTCGTTTCTAAATGATCTAAAAAAATTGTTTGTCACGATAGGAGCTGTAAACTTTTGAAATCTTTTAGTTTTAGTAAGAGTTTTACGACACTTGCAACACAATAAGGTCATATAAGTGCCGAAGATTAGAGGTATTGCAAGAGAATAACAAACATATAAAAGAAGATGAGATAAAGAGGACATTTGTTTAAATGGGAAAGAAGGAGAAAACAACATCAGAGCACCCGCCAACCCCCCTCTTTCTTGAAATCAGAGCAGCAATAAAAAAAAAAAAACACACCAAAAAAACAACAAACAATCAAAACAACACTCCCCACGTACATAACATCCTTTCTTCGCTGTTCATCAGTCTCCACCGTTGCACCGTGGCTAGGTACTGACAAAAGCCCGGGTTACCAACAACGATGAATTGCATCAGATTCGTCGTATGCGAGAAATGCCTGTTTTATCGAACTGTGTATTCTGTATACACATTCCGATCAAACATCCCGTTTTCCTTTTGATCGAGGAGATTCCTCGTGCGTTATGCAGTAGCCATGTTTCTTTGCAACGACAGCGATTTGCTTGTACTCCATTGTTTTTCGACCGCTCGATCCTTGCGGGCTGGCGCAGTGCTTTCTCAGGTATACAGAGGGCATCGAATGGAGAACGATTTTATCACGAGACGATTCAAATAAACTTTGAACTTGGAGACGGTAGATTGTCTGTGCATTTGTGTCTGCGGTGTGCGTATGTGTGTGTGTGTGTGTGTGTGTGTGTGTGTGTGTGTGTT